CAATCAAATGGATGAGCAAAGACATAACGACTATGTTACGCCATGAGGTTCACTACAAAAAGTTTTGGATCAATCAATTTCATGACAGACGTATCAACATCTGGGAGAAAGCAACAAATAATGAGTGGAAGATCCCAAGCAATTGGAAATCCTTTAAAGAGATGGTCGAATGGAAACTCAGAGATCGCAAAGACAGACACAATGGACCATCCATGGATGCGGCAGTGGCACACTTTAAGAAAGATGGTGAAAATGATGGATATGCCGATTGGAACGACTACTACCCGATATTCATCATTCGTGCGTTCCAGAAGCATATTGATTCGCAGAAAAACAGAATCGAGATATATGCCAAGCCGATCCCTGAGGGAGGTTTCCCCAGTTCTTTCGACTGGAACAGCGTCATCGCTATTCGGTGCGTTGGTGGTCACAGTTGTGTCAATCCATCTTCCAAGCCATGGAATATGGGATGGGAGAGCCTACAATGGACAGATGTCACATATCTCCATCACGGCACAGCATCCCGCGCTTGGCGCAACATATTGAAGACAGGGATCATTCCAGGATACATCGATCCATCTTCTCAGAGAGACAAGCATCATAAACCATCACAGCGCTCTGAGGCATTCTTTAGTTCCAGCGCATATTTAGACAATGTGCAGAAGAATCCACATACTTCAGTGGAATCATACAAGTTCAATCACTGCAAGAACGAGGTCGAATTGGTGATCAACATGGAGATCGCCACAAAAACAGGTTGCAGGTTTTGGCTGGGTGCTCAGGGCGCTATCATGACAGAGGACGCGGTACCCGCCGCGGCAATTATCGCAATTCGCCGCCTCAAACCACACCACATGACTGGCCAGCAGTTATGGCCAGACGGCGACCCATGGGACTACCCGCCATTGGCAGCAAGACCGCCATTGAGCAAGTACGAGATTTGCGCCTACCTTCCTGGAGAGCTCATCGACGACCCTCCTGGGATTGCACCTGTCGACCCCGACCAGAACATGGAGCCGCCAAGGACAACGTCAGCATCAGCAACTTCGGTCCAGCTGGGGGAAACCCCTGCTAGCCGTACATCTGCAGACGACGCCTTGGATGAACAAATAGTCCGCGCTATGATTCGGGAGACCAATCACAAAGCAGATGATAAAGAATGGTTAATTGCCTTGTCATACTGTCGCGAAGCTCTTCGACCGATCACATCAAAGATTACGCAAAAAGACTGGGACCGTCGCCCTGCATTTAATGATGTTCGAATGGGAGACTTCATTGTCGTCAAGAATTGGGGTTCTATCAAATGCTTTCATTGCGACAATCACTGGCCCAAGGGCAATCACAATACCAAAATTGCCTTGGCCAAGGGACACATATATGGTCCAATCATCTATTTCGGCATCTTCGATAAGTTCTTCGCGGTACAAGTACCTATTCTCAACTACGGTCTACGATGGGTAAACATATGGTACAATGACAAAAGCATGCCCCTCAAGGGCGTTGTCTTTGCATTGCCGATTCGTGTCGGAGAACATGCCATTGACCCAACATATATGGAGACCGTCCTGAAAGGCCCAACATCATGCAGCGACAAGATACTCCAGCACAAGAACGATGGCAGTTTACTATACCTTGGTATGTCGAGCATTTATAGACCACGTATCCCGCGCACACCGACCAGACGGCCCGCTCCTCGGACACCCGACCCTGACGAGCTGGTGGCCACACCTGCCGAGGACAACGCTCACACGGGCGACAAACCTCGACAGCCTGCAGGATCATCGACTGATCCTTTGGTCACTGTGATCGTGGACATATCGAACATATCGCTCACCGCTGACGAGAAAGCAGCGAACGACAACATGAGAGCAGACCTCTCAGCAGACATTCAAGCAGATGAGCAGATCGAGGCGAGCATACTCGACAACATCATTGACCCGCCATCGGATTTCCTTAACCATCCAGATTGCGACCCCGACGAGGATTCAAGATGGATTGAACAGTCAGATGACTGCCGCATATATTGTTGGACGTCGGAGTTGTTGGTGGATTTGCCTATGATAAAGATGAAACAGATCATCGGGATACACAGTGGCGCGGACAGAATTGTAATGGACAAAACACAATCGCATTTACAATTTGAGATTCGATTTGGATCGAAAGCATGGAATGCAGAGTCATACCAATTGAATTACGATCTTACCCACAAATGGGCACGTGACTTACCAAATTGCAGTGCAGATCATTTCTTCAAAATGTTGGTACATTACCTCGACCCAGAGACTATCGAGGAGTCGACCACCGGCATCTTTCAATGGATCTCCAAAGTATACCAGAATATCTTGAAAGATAGTATTGCGGAGCTTCCAGATTTCACCAAAGATGCCATCCATGAGAAACATCCTGCACTTCAGGCGTTGCGTGACCTATTCAAGAATTGTACCGAGACATACGGTAACCCAGACTTTCCTTCATGGGAAGAGCTGGTGGAAACACCTGCCGCGCCTCGTGAGCAAGGCGCGGAGCAGGATATTCCCCAGGACCCAGGCAGCGTTGCATCCGCAGCTCCTGATCAGGAAACCATGGTACGTATCATAGCCGAGCAGACGGGACTCAAGCGCGAGGAGGGCGACAACGAGTCCGCCTTGCAGGAAAACGCCCGCCATCTTCGTACAGAAAACGTATGCCATGGTGGTGCCGAGGATACGGACAACACCAAGACAGAGTACAAAGGACTGCCAGGGGAAAGATTGTCTAGGATCGAGATCGAGGGTTTAAGTAGATCAATCGCTTCCCGAACGAACACCGAGATCAATCGTGGGGCCATCAATCAGATCGGCCAGAGCCTCGCTCGCGGTCAGGACACTCGCTGGGGATCCCGTGATTTTCTCACGACGGAAGGGGCCCCAGAGACGATCTTGCATTCCATACCGCTCTGTCAGAATTGCGGTCGAGATCTGTCCCTTGGGATCGTCACAGGTGACGGCACACTTTGTGACATCTGTTGGCAGTATACCGTGGCCGTAGGCGCCACGGGTAAGAGCACCGCCGTACAGAGCGATCTCGCGTACCTCCAGGAGCTGACGAACTGGATCAAGATGACGCTCTCCGAGGACCAGATCGCGAGATACATGAAGGACGGAGCGCGCGTCATTATGACGGGTGCGCGATCGCACGCAGGCAATGAGAACGATCAGTTGCGGAGATTGGCTAATGCGTCCAGAAAGAGGTATCAGAAGTGGGTCGAATCAGGTAGCCCTGCTGCACGCGAGTGCAGACTGATGGGCGAAGCCGATGACGACAGACCTCTGTATTACCCATTCGCCAATCTCGTACAACGCTTTCTCAACGACCTCAAGTTCCACCACCAAATGACAGGTGCCCGCGTGAACATCGGCAAGAAGCCCTGGACCGTGGAGGACATGCGTGATGCGTGGGGCATCCTCGTCGTCAGTATTAGGACAGGACAGGCTGGTCGGAGGAAATGGTGGCTGAACGAGGGCCGCCTCGACAGGCAGACGCGGCAGGCTCGCGGACTGGTCGCGGTTTCTCCCCCTAGAAGGGACGGCGCCCGTGAACAGTTCACTCAGCGAAAGCTTGCCGCGATTGCCAATGAGTTGTTAGGCTCCCTCGATCCGTCACATACCGACCAAAGGGGGGTTGATACAGGGATGAGAACCGGTCCCGATACACCATCCCATCAGTCCGATGATGCCATGGAGCCGCGCCATCCGCGGCCGCCGCCGCGCCCTGCTCCTGGCGATGCTGCTGCGTCCAGCGCCTCAGGCGCGACGGACTACACGCCCGCGGGGCCACGTGCCAAGAGAGCGCGTACATCAGATTACGCCGCCGACTGGCGCGACGACCTCGAGGACAGCTACTGGGGTCTCAGGTACTGGAGTTACTACATCAACTGTTGGATCTACATCGCGATCAACAACGATGAGTACGTATACATCCAGGACATCACGTACAATGATTGGTTTCGCAACTGGATCCCGAGAACGGCTTGGGAAACATTCGCGACGAGCTACGTGACATACAACGGCCAGAGGATGTGGGACCGCAGGTTCTACAAGAACGGCAACGCGTAGTGAGTCGGCCGCAAGGCCCATCGCTCAAAGGCACGAACTTCAATATAACCAAAGTTCGCCTTGAGCGGTGGCCATTACATACTTTTAGGCCACTTCGTTATACAACACAAGTGGCCACGCACACAAATACCTTTTGCGATGACCGAGACAGCCTCCTAAGGAGCAGCGCCAACGGGAGTCGCCAAACAAGAATTTATACACATGAGTTTTCGTGTTCATCAACGCGACATTCCGTCTGGCCAGACATTTGTTTTTACGCAAAGTTGTGTTTCATTGCAAGATCGTGTTTGTCAACACGATCTTAGCATGCATATTTTAACCGTTTAAACCTGATTGCGTCGAGAATAATCTGATAGCTGGTGGCAACACCTGCCTCGCAACAGCGAGGCAGTTTGCATGTTGCTTTAACGCTCAGATCTTCTTTCTCCGCCCACCCTTGTCTCATTATTCTCCGCCCTCGAGTGCCGAAGCGTTTTGGGGGGCGCGCCGAGGGGGCGCCAAAGTGTGCCTGGCGAAGAAAGGGGGGCCCAGGGTGTTCCTTCTAACTTCACTTTGCAGCTGTGGCTTCGCTGATTTTAAGCCCAGCTGCCTCCTGACTTAAGGACTAAAGGAGTTCAAGGGTTACGGATTCCCTTCCTTTGTTCCCGAGTCCTGCCTTCGCGGGCGGGATTCGGGACGGGGGGTGTGAATGGAACCCGTGTAATACCCTCATATATACTCCTTATCCTTACCTCTCCTGCGCCTGGCCGTTTGGGCTCAGGTATTGAGATAGATCGATCAGACCTTGATCGTGCGGGAGGGAAAGATATCCATCTATCCCTCCTTCTCTCTACCAACGGATCAGGGGTTCTGTACCCTTGTACTTCAATCCCATACACAGCCGACACCCAGGGGGGGGGGGGCTCTCGAAGGAAGGTTGGCGATATCCGACAGGATGTGGGCCACACTTTTGCCTTCCGCTGCGCGGGCGGGCCTTCCAGGGAGGCCTGGCGGGAGGGGCCCGGGGGGGCCTGGCAAGAAGGCCGCCCCTGCCAGCTTAGGTGATGGCCGAGTTTGCCGACAGCAGCGCTGGCTGGGGTACCGACGGCTTCGCCGACAGCCGCTCCAATCGTGGCGCCGACCGCCGTCCTGACGGCTTCGCCGACAGGCGTGCCAGCAGTGGCGCCGACAGTGGCACCGACGGCATTGCCGGCTGCGGGACTGACGGCAGCGCTGACTCTGGCGCTGGCGGCACCGACAATTGCGTCGACAAGTGTGTGTGTGTGGTCAGCTACGCTGAATGCGGCGCCGACAGCCGCGCCGCCGCCCAGGAGGTGGACGAGCCCGCCGCGGAGGACTGGGCCGAAGGTGCCGCCCCCGCCTGCCGCCATGCCGACCGCTACGCCGAGTGCGGCTCCAGCAGGCGTGCCGACTGCGGCGCCGACAGCCGCGCCGCCGCCCAGGAGGTGGACGAGCCCGCCGCGGGGGACTGGGCCCAGGAGGCCGCCCCCGCCAGCCGCCACGCCGACTGATACGCGGACTGCGGCCGCGCCTGCGCCGTCAGCCGCGCCGCCGTCCAGGAGATTGTCGAGCCCGCCGCGGGGGACAGGGGCCAGAATGCCGAGCCCGCCAGCCGCTTCGCCGACCGCCACGTCGACTGCGGCTCCAGCAGGCGTGCCGACTGCGGCGCCGACGGCCGCGCCGGTGCCCGGGAGGTGGACGAGCCCGCCGCGGGGGGAAAGGGCCCAGGAGAGGCCGACCCGCCAGCTGCTTCGCAGACCGCTACGTCGACTGTGGCGCCGTCAGGCGTGCCGACTGCGGCGTCGACGGGTGCGCCGACAGCTGCGCCGACCCGCTCGCCGACAGCGGCGCGGACCGCGTCGGTCGGCGTGGCGACGCCAACGTCGATGGGGAGACTGGTTACCAGTACCAGCAGCGGACGGTGCGCGTGCGCATCCGAGATCGAGGCCAGGACTGGCGGCAGAAGTCCCAGGGAGGCGAGGGCCAGCAGGGCCTCTGGCCGGGGAAATTCCCAGACAATGGAGGCCATGAGTGGCAGCTAACTTGCGGGCAGCATTTCTTTACTTCTTCCTTCTCCAAGGTCTGTCGCAAGTTTACCAGGTTGTTTCACGCAAGTGTTTTTGACAGAACAGCTGTGACACATGAAAATAGCGAGGGTATCCTGCCATGTTGCTAGTCACCTTTTGCGCTGTTCTGTCGATTCCGCCATGCGTGATGCCTAATTTAGTCTTTGTCGCTCGCGAGCTGTGCTCTGTGCGCTGCGCGCACTAACTAGTCATACCTTTAATCTGCCCTGTACCCACCTCAACACGAGTCTTGTCCGTTCGCCGTCATCACCTGCGTGCTACTACTTTTGCGCTGTCGATTTAGCTACAGTTGCTGCTGGTGTTTGGCTCGGGGTTAAAACCGCCTGACGGCGGTGCAGGACGGGATCGCTTACCCTTCCGCTCCATTGCAGAGATCCTTTCTCATTCCCATCACTCTGTTAAATTTGACGGAAATGGGGGAGGGAGGGAGGAGGAGGAGGAACCAGAGTAAACCCATGATGCGTTGGGGGTGCTGCAATACTTCCGCCCGCCGCTGCAAGTATCATTTTTTGTTTCTGACGCGACGCGCCTACAAGTATTATTTTTTTGGCTCTGACGCGACGCGCCTCCCTGGAAAACGATCGCTCCACGCGCTATAGTTCCTCAGTTGGTCTTTATCATGGTGGCGTGATGGCTGTAGCTTGTTCCGCAAAACTTGCACCTTGGTGGCTCACTCCGCGTCGCTTGCGCCGCGCGGCTCGTCCCGCAGAGCTCGCACCACGTAGCTTGCACCACCGAGCTCGCACCAGACAGCTCGCATCACAAAGCTTTGAACAACATAGCTTGCACCACACACCGTGCACCACATAGCCCGTACCAAATGGCTTGCACCACAAAGCTTGCACCACGTAGTTTGTACCGCATAGCTGGCGCCACCTATTCTGAACTACGTAGCTTTCACCTCACAGTTTGCATCACAGAGCTTGTATCACATATATTGCACATCGCAGCTTGTAACACATAGCTTGCTCCACGTAGTTTGTACCGCATAGCTTGCACCACTTTGTTTGAGCGACGTAGCTTCCACTTCATAGTTTGCATAGCATAGCTTGTACCAAAGAGCTTGCACATCACAGCTTGCACCACACAGCTTGCACCACATACATTGCTCTAGACAGCTCGCACTACACGGCTTGCACTACATAGGTTTCACCACACAGCTGGCACCACACAGCTTTCACCAGGATGCTCGGACCACACGGCTTGCACCACATAACTTGCTCCAACGCTTGCACCACGTATCTTGCACCAGAAAAGCCTTCATCACATAGCTTGCCTCACATAGCTTGGACCACATAGGCGCATAGTTTCCACCTTGCACCACATACATTGCACCACACAGATTGAGCCACACATACTGTACCACATAACTTGTGAGGAGAGTGGGGATTGGGGAAGAAGAGGAGGCCGAAGGAAGGGAGGAGGAATCCCCACCGTGCTTTGTCCGCCCCGTTGGGCGCCCCCCGCGCCGCAGCCGCACAGGACGACCCCACGCATGAGTACGTCCGTGAGTGGACCGGGGCGGCCCTTGCCGACGTCGTCGTACAAAATGCTGAGGAGAGGAGGAGGGGGAAGGAGGGGGGTGGGAGGAGGGTGGAGGGAGGAGGAAGAAAGAGGAGGAGGAGGAGGAGGAGATGGAGGAGGAGGAGCAGGAGGAGAGGAGAAGGAGGAGGAGGAGAGGAGGAGGATGAGGATGAGGAGGAGGAGGTTGCGGAGCAGGAGGAACATAATATGGAGGTATAGGAGGAGTGGTCGGACGAGGAGAAGGAGGAGGAGGGAGGAGGAGGAGGAGGAGGAGGAGGAGGAGGAGGAGGGGGAGGAGGAGGAGGAGGAGGAGGAGAAGCGAGGAGTGGAGGGAGGGAGGGAGGAAGGGAGGAGGAGGAGGAGCAGGAGGAATATCAGAGACCATCTACGATGTATCAGCGCTGCTGCAGTACAACCTTCCTTCCCAAGCTCCCTCCTCACAGGTCCCAGGCAACCGTTCCTGCTCACCGCAAGGAGCGCCCCCTCGAAATACCATCACCCTGTTGGCCCGCCGTTCGGGCAAGGGCCTCGTGTTAAAAGGAACTGCTTTGCATCTTTGTACCAAACTATTTGGAATCCGACTCTGTTGGGCCATACATGTCAACGAGGTGTCCGTTGATAACCCCATGTTGGAAAAAGAGCTGCCCCAGCATTGTAACTGTGGCTCCAACTCACAGTTCGGGCAATTCATGCTGAAGATCCCTCCAACGGAAACCACATTTTGGAAAAGAGAAGATCCTGCCTCCATCTGTAGCATTGATGCAAGCATGTCAGACGGACGAGAACTTTGCTAGGGTGAGAGCTTGATTTAGAAACGGATTCCCTGCTATTTATGTAACTGTTGGAATGTTGCAGCATCGGAACCATTTGTTGTATGGAAGTATTGGGTGGAGCGTCCTGCCCTGGTTTCGGATACATCTTGTGGCGCGACAGGGGGAATTGTTAAACAAGAGAAGGAATCGATGAGGAGGGGGAGAGAGGAAGAGGAGGAGGAAGAGGAGGCGGAGGAGGACCAAAGTGTGAATCCAGGATGCGTCACCGATATTGTAGCACACCCTTCTGTCCCAAGTTCTTTCCTCATGAGTCCCCACGAGCACCCTTTTCCACCGCGGGAAAGGCTCCCTGTGCCAGACGAACGCCCTGTGGGTCTGACATTCAGACGAGATGCCGCTTCGTACAGGATCCACCATCCATCATCCATCCTTTTAGCTACGTGTGAGAAATGCAGAGGGGTACAGCCATTAAATTTTAGGGAGCGCTCAGCGATAGCTCCTATTCGAACAGGATGTTCCCTCCATCCGTGTAAATGTAGGGGGCCTCACAATCTGAAGCCTCATTTGGAAAACAAAGGCCGTGCTTCCATGTAACCGCTGGGACGTTTCAAGACGAGTGTCCGCGGCGCCACCGCGAGAACCCAATTTGAAGACACGCATCTCGTTCTATCTTTCTACATGTTGGAGGTTTTCACGACAAGTGTGCGCGACGCTAAGACGAATACAATATGTTGGAAATGTTTGACCTTCCATCCTCATAGCTGTCGGAAGCTTTCAAGATGAATGTGCGCGGCGCTAGGGTGAGAGCCGCGTTTTGCCAACGACGGGTCCTCCATTCTTGTGTGTAGCTGGAGTTTGTTAGCTTCGGAATAAACATTCGAAGGGCGTTCCAAGTCAACGATGATGTAGTGCACCATCCAGTTCCAAAGGCCTTCCTAATCAGTCCGTGAGCACATTCTTGTACACTACGGAAAGCACCAGCTCCTCTTCCTCCTCCTCCTCCTCCTCCTCCTCCTCCTCTTCCATCTCTCTTCCATCCTTCCTCCTCCTCTTCCATCTCGTCCTTTGATGACGCTGTACTTCCTACCCACTCAGATCGGAGAAGTCGCCGCTGTTTGGCCCGGCCGTCGGCGCACATCTACTTATTGTATGAAGAGTAATATCCCCGCAATAGACATTTTATTGCAGCCATACTTTCCCACGTACAGCTTCCAAGCCCCGCAATTCTAGTTGGTAGCGGAGGTTGGATGCGTGTGAGCATTTCGCACCACCCGAAGGGAACATCGCAAGTCAATGTGCAAGTTTCATCGACTCCGGCTTCGATCAAAGTTGACAACGACATCATCATGGTTGCCCCGCATTTCGTCATGGCGTTCGTCCCTGCGCAGGTCCGAGTGTCAAGGCGCCTGCGCAGCCATCGTCGTGGTGAGGTCTTATCGGGGAGGATCTCCATCTTGACGTTCTGGGGCAACATCCTCATGTTTTTTGCGGCCGTCTTGTTCTGGCTCGCAGGCGCGAAGCCTGGTGGGGCCGGCCCACTAGGCGGCGGCGGCGGCCGCGGTGCAATCGCATCGCGCCAGCTGCCCGCATGGTCACCCGATCGCGAGTCCGTGTATCTTTTTCGCCACTGGGTATGCGACTCGCTCGCCTGGGGCGTGCTTGCTGCATTCATGGGCAGCGCACAAATTCATTGCCGTCATTCTCAACCTCGGTGGTGCCGCTCGCGAGCTCACGCGCTCCATGGGCTTCTCGGAGATGGCGGAGGGAGGCGTGGTCAACGGCTGGCCAGATGACGCCGTGACCTACCTTATCGCGAATCTCGCCATACAGTTTGGCCCACTAGGCGAGGAGCCGCGCCTCCGAGCAAGCCGCAGCGCAACGAATCCGCCGACGGGCTGTTCTCGTTCTCTCGCGCTGCGATTTCGAGCCACGCATGGCGGTGGAGCTGCGATGTCGTGGGAAGGCTATAACTGGCTGCCCCTTCCGAGCGGTCGGTGTCGCAGCAAGCTAATTCGTGACGCTGCCCCAGCCATGCGGCAACCGATGCTCAGCCACAGGCCGAGTTCAGCAGTCTCACGACAATGCCCAGGCGCGTGGGTCACATCGTGGAGCATGTGCCAAACGACATCGCCAGCGCCCTTCGCGCGCCGCCATATTTCGGAGGGTTCGCGGACATGACCAAAGGCAATAGTAACGATGCACGTGGCCCCTGGCGCATTCAAGTTCTCGACCTCTGGACTGCCCGCAACGCCGAGCTTCCCGGGGCAGGAAGTGCCCTGGCGCTTGCTGCCGGCCCGTCGCAGAGCGCCGCGCCGCCGCGGGCAGCGCCCCCCGCCGCCGCGCGGGCGCCCGCGCACGGGGCCGACTGCGACAGCGGGGCGTCCTCTGATGCGAGCTCGGGCCCAGGCGGAGAGGTCAATTGCCAAGCACCCGAGCTCCACGGTCTTAGCCCCGCCCAGATAAATGCTCAGCTGTTCTGGCAACCGAAGACTGCCAATCGACAGTGGCGTAGACGCATGCGACGTCCCACTCGTGAGGCACGTAGCTCCGAGAAGAACGACAGCGCCCTCTCCAGGGATGGCAAAGACAATGGCGAGGGTTCTCAGAAGTACGCATTCCTTATGGAGCTGTCGGGTACCCCAGTAGATCAGGCTTTCTTCGGCGGGCAAGGACAGAGTAAAGGCAGGCGCTCGTCGAAGCAAAGCAAAGGCAGACGCCGCGATCCGCGGGGCTATGGCGGGGCCGTCAGGGCGCGTGGCATCTGTGGGGGCGAGTACAATTTTCTCTCTCGCTGAGAGCCCGCGCGGCGCCGCGTCGTCGCCGCAGGGCAACGGCGGCGGCGGCCAGTTCGGAGGTCGCGCAGACTCCGGGCTCATAGACGGCGCCCCGGACTCTGGCCCTCCTACCGGGATCTCGGGGGTTGCCCTCGTGGTCACTGAGGGCCCAGCTGGTCCGCAGCCAAGCCGCAGTGCTGCGCCAGTGCGGCCATCCGCCGACGGCTCCTGGCAGATGCCGGGATCAGTCCACGGCTCGTGGTCAGCAGCCCCGCTTGCCGCGGCCCAGAGCCACGCGTGCGCCGACGCGCGAGTTGTCC